CCAAGGCACTATGGCTCTGGCGCGGCCTCTGCGAGTGGTGCGGCTCGCGGTTCGGTTGTTTTTGGCACCTCGACGGGACCTAGCGGTCCGCGGTCCGGAGGAGCCCCTGCCAGTAGTTCGCATCCCGCGGGCTCTACAGCGGAGGCAGGAAGAGCGGCAAGGCAGACGGAGTTCCCCGCGGCTGGTGCTGGCGCGACCTGGCCCGCTGCTGATCTCGGCGCGGCGGCCAGAGTTGAACCAGCCGGCGCGCCTCACGCTTGGCCGTTGGGAGCGCGCGCCACTAGCTTCGCGTGGTTGGAAGAATCGGCGCTCCCGCAGGGACTACTTCTCTATCGAGCGAGCGCAACGTGAGGTACCAGCGCTGCGGAACCCCCAGTCCGAGGGCAGCTTCGCGGCTCTTGGTCTGGAACCCCGCGTGCTGCATGCACTACAGGAGGCAGCTCCTGAAGTCGTTCGGCCTACAACCGTGCAGTCGCGCACCATACCCCCTCTACTTCGCGGCCGCCACATCCTTTGCGCTGCGGAAACCGGCAGTGGCAAGACTCTTGGATACCTACTACCTCTGCTTCAGCGGCTCTTGGGCCGGCCAAGCTTGGATTCGCACAGTTTACCAGCTCCTCGAGGCCTGGTCCTTGTGCCTTCGCGAGAATTAGCCGAACAGGTGCGGGCGGTGGCCCAGCCCTTGGGCGTCTCCTTGGGCCTCCACGTCCGGGAGCTAGAGGGAGGCCGTGGCATGAGTAGGATCCGGCTGCAACTGTCCAAACAACCCTCAGTAGATGTACTAGTGGCCACTCCAGGAGCTCTGTGGAAGGCCCTGAAAGGTCAACTAATCACCCTGAGGCAGCTCTCCTACTTGGTGTTGGATGAGGCAGACACACTATTGGATGAAAGCTTCCTGGAACTAGTGGACTATATCTTGGAGAAGAGCCATATAGCAGAAGATCCCGCTGACTTAAAGGACCCTTTCAATCCCAAAGCTCAGTTAGTGCTGGTGGGGGCCACATTTCCTGAAGGTGTAGGCCAACTGTTAAGTAAAGTTGCCAGCCCAGACTCTCTGACCACCATCACCAGCTCCAAGCTCCACTGCATCATGCCTCATGTTAGACAGACATTTATGAGGCTGAAGGGAGCAGAGAAGGTGACTGAGTTGGTGCAGATTCTCAAGCAGCATGACAGAGCATACAGGTCTAGCCCCTCGGGAACTGTTCTGGTATTTTGTAATAGCTCCAGCACTGTGAATTGGCTGGGATATATTCTGGATGACCACAAAATCCAACACCTAAGGCTTCAGGGACAAATGCCAGCCTCAATGAGGGCAGGCATCTTCCAGTGCTTCCAGGAGGGCTCCCAAGACATACTCCTCTGCACAGACATAGCCTCTCGGGGCCTGGACAGCACCCATGTAGAGCTAGTTGTCAATTATGATTTCCCTCTCACCCTGCAAGACTACATCCACAGAGCCGGTAGGGTGGGCCGTGTAGGAAGCGAGGTGCCTGGCACCGTCATCAGCTTTGTGACCCATCCCTGGGATGTAAACCTGGTTCAGAAGATTGAGCTGGCAGCACGCCGGAGGAGAAGTCTTCCAGGACTTGGGTCCTCAGTGAGAGAGCCTTTGCCCCAGCAAATCTGATGGCAGCCAGCTTAAATGTGATGCCATTAATAGGAATCTTTCCCTTTGTCCTGGGTGGGTGAGCACACTTGTCAGTAGGATGCACTGGGCAGCCAGTCACCTCTCTGAAGGGCTGGTGAGCTGTTTCTGGCTTCCAAAGGTAGATGGGCCAGCACTGCGGAGTGAGCATGGTTCTTTGTAATCTTTCACATGAGTTCTGAAAAATAAAGTAGATTTTTGGCATTGTATTATGACATAATTCCTAACAGTAAATGATGTATTTATGGGGCTCCTCTAATAATAGTTACCACTGGGGTAGAATTCATTGGATTGTGAGAAGATTCACACTTTGAACAACACATCTGGGACTGAGGCACTTCCATTGCCGTTTTATTATTATTTTTATTATTTTTTATTTTTCTTTTTTTTAGAAGAATATCTTTTTTTTTCTTTTTTAAGATTTTTTATTTATTTGACAGAGATCACAAGTAGGCAGAGAAGCAGGCAGAGAGATGGGGGGAAGCAGGCTCCCCGCTGAGCAGAGACCCCCCGATTCGGGGCTCAATCCCAGGACCCTGGGACCATGACCTGAGCCGAAGGCAGAGGCTTTAGCCCGCTGAGCCACCCAGGTGCCCCTATTTTTATTTTTTAAAGTTTTTATTCATTTGAGAGAGCAAGCACGAGCAGAGAGGGACAAAAGGAGAGGGAGAAGCAGACTCCCCAATGAGCAGGGAGCCTGATGTGGGGCTCGATCCCAGGACCCTGAGATCATGACTGGAGCCAAAGGCAGACACCCAACCAACTGAGCCACCAAGGTGCCCCATTCCATTGCTGTTCAATTAGTAAACAGATTTTATTTCTTGCCCCCAAAAACATCCATTAAGCATCCCAGAGAAAGGAAAGGGGATGTGACTAGCAGAGAGATTTTCTTCAACAGTGCCCACGGCAAGCTTGGGCATTCTTGGTGAAATCTCTCTGGGACGTACTGGCAGAAGAATAGAAGACAGACAGACTGACACAGAAGTATTGGTGTGCATTTCCAGGCTCTACCTTCTTATCTCTTGTGGCAGGGAAAGAGAAAAGAGGATTAAACTTTTTACAAAACTGGCAAAATAAGCATATAGCATTCTCTGCTTCTAGGTTCCAGTTTCTGCATCATTCTATAAGCCTAAAGTAATGCACAGTTGAGAGTCAAATACTCCACAAAACAAAATACTTGCACACTGAAAATGATGAGGTTGCAGAGAAAAGAAATGGGCACAGGGCAATCCGCCAGGAGAGAATATTGTACTAAATGCACAATCATAGCTCTCTTTTTCATATGAAGAAGTTTGAGGCTCAGGGGGTTAAAAGAACTTAGTCAAAATCATACACACAAGTATGGCAGAATCTAGTCTACCTGCACTAAGGGTTGAGTTTTATACCAACTTTCAATATTGCACACTTTGACTCTCAAAAGCAACCCAGTTTGGACAATAATTTGGTAACTCTATCCATGGATCACTCTGGCAGTACTGTTAAAAATACAGATTCCAGGGACGCCTGGGTGGCTCAGTTGGTTAAGCAGCTGCCTTCGGCTCAGGTCATGATCCCAGCATCCTGGGATTGAGTCCCACATCAGGCTCCTTGCTCGTCAGCGAGCCTGCTTCTCCCTCTGCCTCTGCCTGCCATTCTGTCTGCCTGTGCTCGCTCTCTCTCCCTCTCTCTGACAAATAAATAAATAAAATCTTAAAAAAAATACAGATTCCAGGGCCACCTGGCTGGCTCAGTCTGTAGAGTGTGTGACTCAGTCTCTGGATTGTGAGTTCAAGCCCCATGAGGGATATGGAGATTATTTAAAAATAAAGAAAATTACAGGGGTGCTTGGGTGGCTCAGTGGGTTAAAGCCTCTGCCTTCAGCTCAGGTCATGATCTAAGGGTCCTGGGATCGAGTCCTGTATCGGGCTCTGCTTGGCAGGGAGCCTATTTCCCTCCCTCTCTCTGCCCGCCTCTTTACCTACTTGTGATCTCTGTCTGTCAAATAAATAAAATCTTTAAAAAATTACAGATTCCTGAACTCAACCATTTGTCTATTCTCTTCTGCCTTCCCCAGAGATGCAACCAGGTCCTGATAAGCCTTCAGTAACCTTTCCAGGTCAGAATGATGTTCTCAGACAAATAATCTCTCTGGAGCCTTGGGAGAATCTAAGTGTTGTTCTGCTGGCCCACCTGCCAGAAACAACCTCCTCCATGGCTCTCCCCTTCACACTTTTCCTCCTAGCTCTCCCCAGGGGCAGTCCACTCTAATCAGGCCTGACCTCATGTGTCACACACACACACACACACACACACACACACACACCACATTAATTCAAGCAACCCTGGAATAGAAAGAAGATGATGTGGGTCTCAACCAGGGTTGCCCAACCTCTCAAATAGTAGTCCTGTCATTTTCTACCTCCAGGACACATCCCCTTTGCAACTGCCCTGGGAAACAAGCATCCCATCTTTACATATTCAAGGTCAGCAAGAGGGGGTCCCCTCCTAAGGAAGCTCATCTCTCATTGCTAGGAGGTTCTTGGCTGCACTATATCCAAGGCTGCCCAAAATATGGTGCTTTTCTGTGGGCCTGATCAGGCTAAGGGCAGAGCTGTCTATTTCCTCCACCTCTGAGTAGGACCCAATCAGCTTTTGTAACGTCTCTTCACAGTTTGACCATGTTTTTCACCCACACTTCTGCTGAGCCCACACTTGCTCCTGTCAGTGGTAGGATTGTTATTACAGTATTTGCTTTTTGTGAGAGATGAATGTAATAATTAAATTGTAATTTTGTATTGTCATTTTGCCATGAATTTGTTTTGAATTTTATACTAAAGTGGGCCCGTCATCCCCACTTTATGAAGCCATTCAGGACCCTCATTTTGCCTTGGAGCACCTTTAACATCTCTCCCAGTGTCACTTTGAAATGTGATGAGCTTGTCCTCACATTCTTATCAGGTACAAATTCAGAGTCTGACTTGAAGCCCTACCATAGAGCAGAGCACTTCTCCGCTACTTATGCAACCTTGCATAGGCCCCCTTAACCTCTTGGTTTTTCGAGTCCTCAGTTGTAAAAATGTGAGGGTTCTATGAATTTACATTTGGAGCAGAACAAGTTCAAGAAGAGCTTGTCTTTGCTTTTATTCTTCCCAGCTGGAACGTCTTCATCTCCGCTCCATGGGTCCAAATCTAACTTATCCTTCAGACCCACTTCCAAAGAGCCTTCTACACAAATCTCTGCCTCTCCAGCTGTTGAATACTTAGGGTCAGCGCCGTACAACCTAGCTGTCTCTCAGGTTAACCTTGCCGCTCAAGCCAATCACAGAATGTGGGTTTCCCTTGCCCTTTCGGTCCCCGGGACTGTGCCAGCTCACAGGTATGCTCCACGGGGAGTGTTTACTTCACTAGGGCTGGCTGGGGAGAGAAGTGTGAGGGCCCCAGCAAGGTGCCTCTCTGCCTCCACCCTGCTCTCCTCCACAAAACCCTGAGAGCCTGAAACCTGTCCCTCAAGTCACAGATTCCTTATGTGACCTCACTGGGTAGTGATGACCTCACAGGCCTTCTCACAGTTTCCATGGCAGGGTAACTACGCAAATGTGGTGCTCTCGGGGAAACTTTCCTACCAGTTCTCTACTGGATACCAATCTGTTTGGTTGCCTGAGAATGTCTGACCGGATCTTCTATATTCATTCTAACTTGTCCTCTGTACCCTGGGAGGGCAGCACAACAGGTAGGCTTAGCCCAGGCATCTGTCCAAGAGTCCCTGGTGTACACACAACTCCACCTGGCTGCCACATGTTCCTTTTGGGCTTGCCCACCACACCTCAGAATTTAACCAGCTGTAAGTAATACAAGTGGCCTGGGGCCCCGTGAGGGACTTACAGTGTTCCTGCTCACTGCCGAGAAGTGAAACGTCATCCCTTGGGCAACTATTCAGAAAGCTTCTAATGTTTATAAATGCAGCCTTTCCTTTTAGACTACAAGCTTCTTCCATTCTGACCCTTTCCAATTGACCTCTTAGCAAAAGTCAAGTGAATTTTTGTCTGCAAGTGATAAATGGGGCAGGTTGAGGAAGAACCGTTGAGGCCTCCTCATGAATCTCCGCTTCAAAGCCAGGCAGCTTCGCCGTGCTGTCGCATAGACGTGCACAAGGGTTCCCTGAGACACACCCCAGACTGAACGGCTGAGTATTGGGGAAAGGTGGTGTCATATCGGTGAGAAGAACAAAAGAGTCAAGGAGAGAGATGAGTGATACAAGACGGGAGGGCTGACGAAATAGTGTCCTAGGAGGTCGGTTGACATGAGCCTAGACTCCCTATCTAAAATCTGGCTCTGAAGCTCCCGGTCACTTGGCCTGCACATTTGGCCTTTTTCTAATCTAGATAAAAGTATCAGAGGGCTAGAGGTCAGTGTGGTTGGAAAAAGCAACAGAATGGGGCCCAAGAGGAGTTGCCAAGGTGGGAAGGGTTTTAGCCCATTTATATTACTTTTCCAATACCTGAAAGGTTTTTCCATTAAAGCCTCAGAAGTGACAGACGTTAAGAAATGCTTTTTCTGCTGTGGATGGGAGCGATGGAAAGGATCCTGGTGATAACTGTCTTCAGGTTCTACGGTTTCCTCTGAGAACGGGGAACAGATTTCCTGGTCTGCTGCTGCTGCCCTAAGCGCCACAGAATCACTTCTGCAGCCATATTCCTTCTCTAGGGAACTCACAGAGGTGAAGGCCAAGGCTGTGTTTTGGATACAGAGCAGATTAAAGGGCTTCAGCCAGAAACTGGGAGAGACATGAGAGGGGAGGTCCTGGCAGGTCACTGTATGTAGCAGAAATGGCTGATGAGATCTGATTTTCCTTCCAGCAGCTGTGGCTCCCACTTCTCCTCCTACACCTGGTCACTACCATGTCCTCTACCGAGGGTGTGGAGAAACCCAAGTGGGCTGGCATGGGGAGACATACTGCCTGGTTGGTGGCTACCGGACCTATGGGGATGCTCCTGTGGCCACCCCAGCAAAGGTGGAAGCAGAGAAACCAATTCCCAGCCGGGCTCCCAAGAGACGTCGAGCTCTCACAGAGTCGGATAAAGACCTAGGTTGCTCCAGCCCCAAAATTCGGCGATTGCAGCAAGGTGGCCGGAGGATGACCCCACAGAAGCTTGCTGGCTGAGCCACTCTCCAGGGAAGGCAAATGTTTAACCACCCAAGACAGCTAATGCCTCTTCCTGCAGTGAACCCCACTGCCCATCATTGGAGATTAGAACCTGAGCCATTCTGTCTGAGCTTTCATCGGCCAGGAGCCTCCTTCCATACTAACTGGCTATACACAAGGAGCCTTAGGAACTGAAGCTTGAAATGAGAGGCTGCTCTGAACATCCCAGGGCTGAAACTGGCCTGGAAGAAAACCTGGTGTTTCTCTGCTCAATATTCCAGAGTCCCTTCTTGGGAAGAAGAAAGAAAAGTCTGTATTCTTTGAGTCAACAAGGATCCTGGAGCAGAGAGAGGGTTCAGACTGGTATCAGCAGGGGCCCATCTATCAGATGGATTCCTGCCCTGAGTCATTGCCAGCAGCCATCAACACAAACCAAGAAAAGCCGGGCTTTTTGAAACTGAAAAAAGCAATTTGTGTCTACCCAGGGAGCCCCCTGTCTGGAGTTCCAGGAAGCAGAATAAAGAGACCCAGGAAGACCCACTCGCCAGCGCAGGAAGAAAATGGAGAGAGTTGGGTGTCACCACTGAGGTTCATGTGCTCCTTCATTCCCAGCCCTTTCTGGCCCCAGGGGGATTTCTGACTGTTCAATAAAATGATTTTGTCTAACATATTTGACTTGAAATCCAGCTTGTCCAAGCCCAGGCCCCAAACCCCTCTCTTCCCTTGAAGTATATTCCCACATGCAGAACCTGTAGTCAGACCTTCTGCCTCCAAAAAGGACCCAAGTGCAGCTTCTAATGGTGCAGCTCTCTACACCTGTGCAGATAGGGCAGGACCTGGACAGGTTCTTTAAGAAATGAAGAGCCTGATGAGAACTTCCCTCTCCATGTGCACGTGTGCGTGCATGCGTGTGCGTGCGTGTGTGTGTGTGTGTGTGTGTGTGTGTGTGAGAGAGAGAGAGAAGATGAGAGGCAGGTCTGAAAAGACTTTGTCAATCCACCCATCTATCCATTTACTCCACAAATATTTATTGAGCACCTACTAGTTGCTCAAGCTGTATTAGTGAAAAAGATGACTGAAGCCCCTCTCCTCAAGGCATCCACAAACTAAAGGAAGACACAAAGGATATAATTTCAAATGTAAGTGCAATAAAAGTAAAATGGGATAAAAGGGTAGAGTGATGAGGGGCAAGGTAGTCAGGGGAGGCTTCTTCGAGGAGGGGACAGCTCAGTGAAGATGTGAAGAACTGGAGGAGGAAATGGCAGGTGCAAAGATCCTGAGGCAGAAGTGAGGCTGGCCTGTTCTAGGACCAACTGAAAAGCCAGTGTGGCCAGAGGGAAAAGACAAGAATAAAAGATGTGGTTGGAGAAGCAGGCATGGGCCAGACCACAGCAGGCCTCATCAGCCACGGTGAGGAATGTGGATCTTAAGTGTGATGGGAAGTCACGGGAAGAAGTTGAGCAGGGTAGTGAAATGCTCAGATATAGATGCTAAAAATTTCATTCCGACTACTGTGTGCCATGGCAGTGGGGAGCTGGCTGTTACCAGCGGAATGTCTCTCTCAGCAGTTAAGGGGACCGTTGGTCCTAGGGAGTGGGGGTGGGGGAAGATCAGCAGAGAAGGAAGAGGACAGGGTGTGTGCAGGCCTGTGTGCCAGGTCTACCTGCCTTAGCATCCCAGACCCAAAGTGGGCACTGTCAGCAGCTTGTAGCCCTCAGGCCCAGGTGAAGCCCCTTACCTTTCGAATAGCACACTCACCCTCGAGGGCCATACCAGCAAGAGTGTTGCTCCTCTTCCAGACCCTCAAGGCCGGGAAAGGTCCTGATAACTTAAGAAGTTTTCCTAACCTACATTAGAGGAAAGAGGCACAGGCCCTGGGGAGTTCCCACTGTAAGTCTCTGTTAACCCCCAAAAGACAGCGAATGCCTCTTCCTGCAGACACTCCCACTACCCACTGCTGGAGATTAGACCCTCATGCTGCTCTCTGATACTTGGTGTGACTGAGGAAGATCTGCCATCCTGGAGGAGTCGTGTAGGTTGGCAATTCCCAAACATGAGGCAAACAAACTTAACCTGGGCTCTCAGGAAAACTAGAGATCCCCAGTACCTACACCAGTCCTACTGAATACATTTTTAGTGTGGGATGTGGAAACCTGTGGTCTTAAATTTTTCCCATAACTCTGATTTTATAGGAAATACAAGTGACAGAGGGACCTGTGAAATGATACCCTGGATGCAGTCAGCAAATTCCAAGACAGAAAACGCTAAAGGACAAAGGACTTGATTTTTTAACAAATAAATTGCAAGGAAGGGAGAAGGAAGAGGAACCAATGGATTAAGAGACATAACCACCAAATGCAATGTGGGTGGCCTTATCTACATTGTAATTAAAACAACTATTTAAAAATAAGGCCATCAGGGAAATTTGAACATGATAGATAATTTATGATATTAAGTATTGTGACTCTTGGGACGCCTGGGTGGCTCAGTTGGTTAAGCGGCTGCCTTCAGCTCAGGTCATGATCCCAGCATCCTGGGATCGAGTCCCTCATCGGTCTCCTTGCTCTGCAGGGAGCCCGCTTCTCCCTCTGCCACTCTGTTTGCCTGTGCTCGCTCTCTCTCACTCTCTCTCTTGACAAATAAATAAAATCTTTAAAAAAAAAAAAAGTATTGTGACTCTTTTAGGTGCTATAATGGTATGGTTGTTGTCTTTTAAAAAGAGCCATGATCTTTTAGAGATGCAAACTTAGGTATGGATGGAATAAGTGTTTGATTTGCCTTAAAATATTCTGTAGGAGGTATAAATGAGTAAGGTATAAATAAAACAAGATGGGCCGGAGCACCTGGGTGGCTCAGTGGGGTAAAGCCTCTGCCTTCGGCTCAGGTCATGATCCCAGGGTCCTCGGATCGAGCCCCGCATCAGGCTCTCTGCTCAGCCGGGAGCCCACTTCCCCCTCTCTCCCTCTGCCTGCCTCTCTGCCTACTTGTGATCTGTCTGTCAAACAAATAAAATCTTAAAAAAAAGAAAGAAACAAGATGGGCCATCCATAATTGTTGAAGTTGCACAACTGGTACAAAAGGGTTCAATATACTCTTTTACTTTTTTGTTTGAAATTACTCTAATAAGTTAAAGGAATTTTTTTTTTTAATTTTTTTTTAAAGATTTTATTTATTTATTTGAGAGAGAGACAGTGAGAGAGAGCATGAGCGAGGAGAAGGTGAGAGGGAGAAGCAGACTCCCCGTGGAGTTGGGAGCCCGATGCGGGACTCGATCCTAGGACTCCGGGATCATGACCTGAGCTGAAGGCAGTCGCTTAACCGACTGAGCCACCCAGGCGCCCCTAAAGGAAATTTTTTAAAAAGATTTTATTTATTTGAGAGAGAGACAGTGAGAGAGAGCATGAGAGGGGAGAAGGTCAGAGGGAGAAGCAGACTCCCCGTGGAGCCAGAAGCCTGATGCGGGACTCGATCCCAGGACTCTAGGATCATGACCTGAGCTGAAGGCAGTCGCTTAACCAACTGAACCACCCAGGCACCCTAGGAAATTTTTTTTAAAGGCCTTTCAGGTGGTGCACCTGGGTGGCTTAGTCGCTTAATCGTGTGCCTTCCGCTCAGGTCATGATTCCAGGGCCCTGGGATCGAGCCCCACATCAAGCTCCTTGCTAAGCAGGGAGCCTGCTTCTCCCTCTCCCTCTCCCTCTGACTGCCTGCCACTCCCCCTGCTTGTGCTGTCTCGAGCTATCGCTGTGTGTCAAATAAAATCTTTTTTAAAAAATAAAATAAATTTAAAAATTTAAAAAATAAAAGCCTCTCAGGTGCATTCAGTCAGATTTGGAATCAGTGAGGACTCTGGGTGCAGGGGGGTCAGCTTCAAAGCATAAATTAGCAGGTGGGAGCCATGGCAGCCAGAGAGGGGAGGGCAGCCATGCTGCATGAACACATGAGCACAGGCGGGCTCTGAGGCCGGGTGCGCCGTGTACAGCCTGTTGTTGCCAATCTGCTAGGCCTCAGAGATAAGCAGGCTAGGTCGAGCAAAGGGACAGCAAGTCTGAACTTGAGGCTAACTGAAAAAAATCACATATGCCACATCATAAATATTTGGTCAGAGCTAGTTCCCAGCACCTGGGGTGCACACAGCCCATTCTGCCAGATGCCTCTGTTAGAAGATGAGGTAGATAACTGGAAACTTGTCCAGCCCCATCATGGCATTCCCCAGCACAGGGCCGGCTCCAGAGCGTGATCAGTAGGGAATGTCTAGACAAAGACATGATGGGAAGGACTTGAACCCTCTCCTGGTAAGAGAGGCAGCAGCTGGAAGTCAAGAAGACCACGGAACCTCAGTTGGACTTGGCCATGAGAGCACGTGCAGCTGCTAGCCTCCCTACCTTTCCTCCCCTTCAGCCACGTTCAAGGCGGGTTCCATCCTCGGGCCAGGAGGCTACTCTCTCTGCCACTGCTGGCTCCCCAGATGGCTGCCTTATGTCCCATGAAGCCACACTGAAGACAAGGCCAGTCCAGTGCAACTTTGGTGAGCCTGGCAGTAGGGAACAGGAGATGAGCGGCATGTGCAGAAGCAGACAGGACAGACCTTACCAAATGGCTGGTAGTCATTCTCCAAAGTTCTCTCCCCTCAGGGCCTGGAATACCCACAGAGAGGATGCCCAAAGAGATTAAAAAACAAAACAAGGGGCGCCTGGGTGGCTCAGGAAGTTAAGCCTCTGCCTTTGGCTCAGGTCATGCTCTCAGGGTCCTGGGATCGCGTTGGGTTCTCTGCTCAGTGGGGAGCCTGCTTCCCCCTTCTCTGCCTGCCTCTCTGCCTACTTGTGATCTGTCTGTCAAATAAATAAATAAAATATTAAACAAACAAACAAACAAACAAAAAACTCCCGAGTAGCTCTGGCCTGGGGTCCCAGAGAGCCCTGGACATCAGAAAGCTAAGTACATTCCTCCACCTTGTGAGAAGTTGCCCCCCAAAATATGAATTCCCCTACCCAGTGTTCTGGATGTGGATTCAAGGAGGTCTCCAGACAGAGGGGCACAGAGGTCAAGAAAAGGCATCCATTAGTTGGGGCAACTGCCTTGGACCCAGAGTGGTCTGAGATGGAGAACTGAATCAGAGGGCTCAAAGCCGAAAAACTCTAAGAGTAAGGGAATTCTGGTTCCGGATCCCAGCTCCATCAGCCGGCTTCATTGAGCTGAATCTCAATTTTCTCACCTAGAAAATGAGGCTGGTTAAAAACCTACCTTGTGGAGGCACCTGGGTGGCTCAGTCGTTAAGCGTCTGCCTTTGGCTCAGGTCATGACCCCAGGTCCTGGGATTGAGCCCCGCACTGGGCTCCCTGCTCAGCAGGAAGCCTCCTTCGTCTTCTCCCACTCCCCCTGCTTGTGTTCCCTCTCTTGCAGTCTCTCTGTCAAATAAATAAAAAATTTTTTAAAGATTTTATTTATTTATTTAACAGAGATCACAAGTAGGCAGAGAGGCAGGCAGAGAGACAGAGAGGAAAGCAGCTCCCTGCTGAGCAGAGAGCCCCATGTGGGACTCGATCCCAGGACCCTGAGATCATGACCTGAGCTGAAGGCAGCAGCTTAACAGGGGCACCTGGATGTTTCAGTGGGTTAAAGCCTCTGCCTTCGGCTCAGGTCGTGA